AATATTTATATTGATATTTTTTTATATTTTTTGTTTCTACTGTATATATAAAAAAAAATCTTTTAAAAATTTAAAAAAAATTTTTCAAAAAATATAAAAATATATATAAAAAAATATAAAAAAAAAAAAATACAAAAAATACAAAAAAGTTAAAAAAAGAAAAAATTTGTATATAACATAAATTATTTAATTAGTCTTAAGTAAAAATTAATTTGTATTTAAGTATTCATATTTTAAGTTTGATAATTTTTTATTAAAAGGCAATTTTTTTTGTCTCCTACTGTATAATAAATTACCGCGCGTATATTTTTAATTGGCCCATGCATATATGTTAAGTAATAAAATATTTAAGCGTTATTTATCATTTATTGCACGTGATCGTAACTGTCGCGTTAAAATTTCTAAATTTGATTGGTCAGATACGCGTTAAAGATTTGAACTCTAACGTTAAACGCACCGAAAATAGTCGATAATAAGAGTTTTCAATGGCCGACAACACTGCGAATTTGGAGGATTATTATAGGCCGAGTACACCGTTTCAGATGATGGCCGGAGACAAGTTAGTTACGTTTGTAAAAGCCTTTTCATAGCTGTTATACTTAAATTTTCATTCATTTTAGAACAAATTGCTCAAATGAAGATGGGCAAATCAGTACAGAAGATACAATTATACTCATAAACCAGCAATTAAACGCAAATGGGTACTCCTCTCCTTTGAACTTTTTTGACAGTAATGAAACATCCGTCTCAAAAATTGCAGAATGTATATATGAATTATTGCAACAACAAAAAAAGGACACTGAATACCGAGAAGAAATGAATGATCAATATCGAAGACTGCAAAGCGATCATGACTTGCTTATAACGAGCATGGTAGGCTAATCAACTAAATGTTGTGTTTGTTTCGTTTCAGAGATTTCACTTTTTTTTTTTTTTAACAGAAAAACCTCAGAACAAGGGCAGAATTAAGTGAACGCGAAGTGGACGCCCTGAAAGCGAAATTGTTGTAGGTTAACATTATGATCATTTATCATCGTATACCGAGATCAATAAAAAAACACAAGATTGCAATAGGTGGATAGAAGAAGATTTGTATAAGGAGTCTGAAAGACATCGATCTACGAAGGATGAGCTGACCAAAACAAAAACACAGCTGCTATATACCAAGACGCAAGCTTCGGTAAATAGTATATTGTTAATACATTTCTGAACAGAATTATCTATTATATTAATAATAACTTCTTCACAGCACGAAATTAGAAAAAAGGAAAATGAATATAATAGATTTAAGGAACAAATGCAAAAATTACTAAGTTCAAAGTATAACGCGGCAAACTGCGGACCAGATGATGTAATTCTTTCTCGAAAGTCTGCAATGCGACGTACGAATGGCATTAATCCTCCTAGTACTCAAGTAAATGGTGGCAACCTGAATTATGGAGGAGCTAATAAAGTGTGTACAAATCCTTAAATCTAGTCGCCTGAGGAAATTCGTCCACTAACTATATCCACATCTTTAAGGAGATAATTGCAAATTTACGAGAAAAAGACGAAGAAATACGGAAACAAGAATTGGAAATTGGGTCTCTTAGGAACAAGCTTGGTAACGAAGTTAATTGTGAATTTAATATAGAAATTTAAAATTCAAGAAATTTTTTATTAACAAATAGAGGAGGCATCAAACTTGTTGGATAAAATGCAGCAGATGCAGCAATTTAAGGATGAGAAAATAAAACAGAAAGAAAATGAAATTGAACAACTTGTGAATCAACTTGGTATGATTTCGGTTTATAAATTTTGATTTAATTTAATATTCATTGGTGTTTAAATATTTTTGATATTTTTTTTTTCGATCCCTAGGTTAGTATTATGATAAAACCAAAGAACTAGATTTTTAATGATAGTTCTCACCAAATCGATTTTGAGTTGTTCCTGTTTCTTGAATGTCCGGTAGGTTACTGCTGGACAAACAAAGAACAAAACAGAAATTAAACAACTCAAGAATTGCTTAGTATGAATTATCATCGTCTTTTTTAATTTATTTGAAAAGTCGCTAATGGAGGAAGAAAAATTATCATAGATAAAGTACAACAATCGAAGGATGAGGAAACAAAAACGAAAGATCACAAGATAAAACAACTCGCGAGCCGACTTGGTAAGAATTACAACCATTAACTCAATGTGGAAAGTTTAGAATATGGACTCAAAACAGTTTGTTTAATAGAGGGAGTATCAAATAAGCTGAATGAAATGCAACAATTAAAGGAAGAAATAAGGAAGAAGGAGAATGAAATCAAACAACTTACAGAAAAACTTGGTAATAGCAAATTATTTTTTTTTATAATTAATTTAGAAGTATTGACGTATTAACATCAAATAGAGGGAACGTCAAACATGTTGAATGAAATGCAACATTCAATGGAGGAAGAAGTAGGGCGGAAGGAGACTGAAATCAGAAAACTTACGGATAGACTTGGTAATAAAAGCCGTTTTGGGGTAATCTTGTTCGAAATATTAACAGATAATATTAAATAATAGGAAGAGTGTCAAACATGTTTGATGAAATGCAACAGGCAAAGGGAGAAGAAATAAGCCGAAAGGAGAGTGAAATTGAACAGCTTATGAGTCAACTTGGTAATCATAACTTCTTCCTAATTAAAATTTAAAACTTTAGCTTACTCATTAGCATTATAGAAGGGACATCGAGTATGTTGAGCAGGATGAAACAATCAAAGGAGGAAGAAATAAAGCGGAAGGAGAGTGAAATTGAACAACTTTCAGAGAGGCTTGGTAATAATTGCAATTTTATTGAATTTTTGAGTAATTCCGTTGTAAAACTTAGAATTAATATTAAATGAATGTTGAAACGTATTAGATGACATGCAGCAGGAAAAGGATGAAGAAATAAGGCTGAAAGAGATTGAAATCGAGCAACTTATGAATCGACTTGGTAATAATGATTTGTATTTAATTCGAAGTTTACAACTTTAGCTCATGAACGAATTTTGAATAGAAAGGACTTCAAACATGTTGGATGAAATTAAACAGTCAAAAAACGAAGAAATAAAGCGAAAGGATAATGAAATTGCACAGCTTGTGAATCGACTTGGTAATTATTGTTATCTTTAGATGATTCGAATCTAAGAATATTGACCTGAAATTTGTCATTAAATAGAGGAAGCATCGAATCTGGTGGCTAAAATGCAACAAGTAAAGAATAAACAAATAAAAAAGAAAGAGCATGAAATTCTGCAACTTGTGCATCGACTTGGTGAGATTCTTTTTTTTAACGCGATTTAATCTGTACTAGCTACTAACTTTGATTACTTCATTAAATAGAAGAGGCAATTGCACCATATTCAAAATAAATGTGAACTTAAGATGGATAATGTATTAATGATCGATATCGTTAAATTTCGTTACGTACTTTGTTAGAAGTTTTTTGGATATCAACTATGTATGTAACAGAAGGGTGTCGGCATTAAAATTTTTTATTAGATTTTTAACTATATAGGAAAGACACTTCAAATAAAAGGAATAAAGCGCTGGAAATATTTATTAATGTTCTTTTTCAAATTTATTTATAATTAATTAATTTTTTTTAATCCGCAATTATGCTATCATGGTATGTCTTTTTGAGACATTTAATAAACATCTATAACAGTTAATTTATCATTGTAAATTATTTAGTTGAAAAATTATACTATTTAAAAAATATAATAAATTTACTAAGCTAGTTTGAATTAAATAAAATAAAGTCTAAGTAGGTACTTTAAATCATATTTAGGAAATAATATTTTCTTCCTTGATAGATTGTTACTAGACTTCTATTTATTAGGATTTTTGTTAACAATTTATTATTATAAATTATTTCAAGAGATAATAAATTGCTAAATCTAAACTAGGAAAAGAAAAATAAAAATGAATCAGAGTTCTTTTAAAAGGTTCTTAATTAATTCAACTTTTTTCAAAAGGATTCTATTTAATTGAAATATTTTCTAGCTTCAGACTATTTGAAAAACTTAAACATTTTTTAGTAATAAAAATTTTTAAAAATATTTGAAAAACTTATCTCTTAATTAATATAAATTCATCTATTATATTTTTTATATAAATATTATATTAAAAGAATTTGCTTAATTAGAATAAAGAAAATTTTTTATCTAAATAAAATAAAAACTTAAAATTTTATTTGCTTTTTAAAAAATTTTTTTTTATTATTTAATGAGTTTAATAAGAAATAAATTTAATATATTGTATAATTTTTTAATTATATAATATTTTAATATTATAGTTATTTTTTTTAAAAACTTTTTCAATTAAAAAAATATATTGAAAGAACTATTTTTTTAAAAAAAATATTAATAATATCATAAAATATATGAATATAATTAATAAGAATTAAATTTATTTATATCTTCAAAATTAATATATTTTATATATTTTTTTTTTTTAAAATTAACCCTCTGTCAGGTTAGTTAGGTGTGCTTTATTAAACCTTTGTAAACTATACATTAAT